TAATGCTGGGAAAGATTGAGGGCAATAGAAGAAGGGGACGACAGAGAATGAGGTGGCTGGGTGGAGTCACTGAAGCAGGAGGTGTGAACTTAAATGGACTCCAGAAGATGGTAGAGGACAGGAAGACCTGGAGGAACGTTGTCCATGGGGTCGCGATGGGTCGGACACGACTTTGCAATTAACAACAACGATAATTGGACTTCAGAATACTTACCTTGAGTTCAGGAAGTCTCTGGTCCCCTTTTGCGGCCTCAGAAGTAAGAAAGAAGGTGCTCTGAAGAGGGAGGGGAAAAACTCTGGGAAGCCACTGCCATCAGCACAGATCAATTTTTCCCCAAGGAGGCATCTTCCATGTTTGTTAGCCTTCCATTCCCAGTCCTAGCTGACCAAGATAAGGGTTGAAACCCTACTTATCTACCCATTTGACTTCCTTCGCCACATAAAGTCCGGCACTACCAAGGAATCTTGACCACATTCAGAAAAACTTGCTGATCCTTCTTGTCTCATCCCTCTCCTTTCAGAATTCAGGCGAATGACGACGAGAAACAGCCTTTTTCAAATTTTGTGCCCAGTTTTTGAACAGCTTTGGCTAGAAATATTCAAGCAACATCAATTTCACAGATTGCTAGAGGCCACATCATTTTTATTTCCTTAAGCCTCCTTCCCCCCTCCCCCGAAAAATTAGGAGAACCTATTTTATTGGAAGACATTGAGATTTTCCCCAGGTAAGGCAAAAAGTCCCCCCTGTAACAAAGCTTTTCAACAGAAGAGAATATCTGTAGCTTAAGGTCACACTATGCAGCTCTTGGTGGTCTCTGAGCTTGGTTGTTTGCGTGCAGACATTTTATTACCCAGCTAGGTAGCATCATCAGTGTGAGTGTGAGTTTGGATCTAAGCATGTCTACATCATGCACTAAAGTAAAAAAAACAAAAACAAAATCAGGAAGGAAATTAAAAAAAATAACACATCCCCTCCAGTAGCCCAGATTCAAATAAGCAGGCTTTAACACCAGACAAACAATCAAATGGAAAACAATATCCTAACCAAAGAATTACCAAGGAGAAAACCGTAACCCTATGCAAACACTGGGAGGGTAAGCTACTGTAATAAATAGGGAGCAAATCCTACACTCATCACACTGAAGATGTTACCTAGTTGGGCAATGAAATGTCTGCAAACAAACAAACAAGCTCAGAGAGCACAAAAAACTCAAAAGCTGGTTTTGATCAACTTCGAGAAAATAACTTGAGTTATAACCCTCAGGATTCATTTATCTCAGAGGGTGCGTGTTTAATTTGTGAAATAGAGATAAAAGTATCTGTCTTCCTTACTAAATCCTTAAAATTGTTGGTAACGATTCGCATATATCCTACACGCTTAAAGAGAGTTATGATCCTGTCTCTCATAGCAGCAGCTAAACTACGATGCTTACATCCTGAATTTCTGATAGCATGTGGGGCTGCTGAAATGGGAAGACAAACTATTAAGACCAACCAACAAAAACTCTTGACAAAGTGGGAACTGGATTTAGATTTTAAAAAAAAGAAGTGTATTGGAAATCCAATACCAAATAATAAACATGACAGTATTAAAAATGTAGAGAGTATACAGCAAATACTACAGAAAAATAATGTACAGAAAGTCTTCAGAATTACAGCAGTCTTCAGAATTCTTCTACATCAGAACTGTAAAGCAATATACAGGAGTCTCTTCTGCCCCCCACCCCAAACCGTCCCCCACCCCACCCCATCCTCTTATTCAAGTGGAGGAAGCTGCACAGAGCAGCCATGAGGGTACAAGATACACAATGTCGCAAATTTAAAATCACAAGATATGTAAAAAAAACAGTGTTAAAATGTAAAAAGTGCAATACATATTATACACTGGCTTGAATAAATGTTTTCTTTTTCTTTTTGATTCAACCTTAAAAAACCAACTCTGAACAGTTGCTTTATTATTATTAAAAATATTCCCTACCCCAATCCCACCCCTTCCCAGACTCGTGGCGGTATCATCAACATTCTTGATGTTCTACGAAAGTAGCAATATAGTATAATATAACAAGAACCCACCAACGGGAGGAATACTGAATATACAAGATGATGCTTCTTTGGGTCTAGTAAGAGAGAAAGGCACACACACACACACCTGGGGAGCAGAGTGTGTGCACCAACTAAATTCACTGGATGCGGGGAGAACTCCGAAGATAGAAAAGACTTCATACTCTTGGCTATGAAAAAGTCCGTACAATGAAAAAAAACGGTCATACAAAACACTTTTGGCCACAAAAAGACCCATCTAATGTCATTTTACCTTTTACATGCCTGTCTTGCCTTTCCACCAAAGGGTGGAGCCGGTTACTGTCACTCACCCTGATGGATACACAACTCGATTCAGAAAATTTCAACATGTGTACACCTTAGGGGGTTTAAAGTCCTCTTTTAGCATCTTCTAATGAGGCAAATGTTTCTTTAAAAGATGCTTCTGGCTTATGAGGGTGAGGAAGGGTGAGACCTTCCACCTTCTAACAGGGAAACTGCTCTTCAAGCTTCAAAAACGCATATAGAAGACATCTAGACACAGGTCAAGGTGTGAATCGTTCCACTCCTTGGGTTTAACTGAAAGCTGGTCACCCTTTATTATTAATTGCTCCACCTCAAACCAAACAGGAGGATCAATTAACTCACCAGAATGAAGCTTACACCTGAACTGTAAACAGCATGGATTATCTCTGAGGTGCCACAAGGAGTTACTACTGGAAGACAGAGCACTGAGTAAGGTGGTCTACTTTTGGCTTTCATGGCACTTCTTATATAATTGCAAAAAACATTCTTTTAAAAAATAGATGGCTTGTTTGGATTCAGCGTGGCAGTTCTTAATGCTCATATGCTAAGCAGCGGCTAATAAGAATGAATCAGTTCAGCTCATTGGCGGCAAGAAAGGCTGAGCTGGAAGGGAAGGAAGGAAAACGGTGTGGGGAAAATGATAAATGGGAGGGACAGAAAGACAGACAAAAGGGTGATGTAGGTCTCTTCTACCTGCTCCTAAAAATATTTTCTTCTCTGTACAATTGGCGGTAACATGAGCCAGGTGACTCTAAACTTGAATTGCTCGCAACATGCAATCCAAGCTTTGAACATATGGGAACTTAAAAGAACTTACAAAATCTCTAACTGATCCCATCTTATCATAATCTTGTTATCACTGAACTTGGTACGGCAGCAATCGCGCTTGGACTTATATACCGCTTCACAGTGCTTGACAGCCCTCTCTAAGCGGTTTACAGAGTCAGCCTGTTGCCCCCAACAATCTGGGTCCTCATTTTACCGACCTTGGAAGGATGGAAGGCTGAGTCAACCTTGAGCCGGTCAGGATCGAACTCCTGGCAGTGGGCAGAGTTAGGCTGCAATACCGCATTCTAACTACTGCACTACCAGGGCTCCAATACCACTTAAGTTGGTTACAATAAAAAAAAATCAAAGCCTCCCATTCTTCATTATCTTTTTAAGCCGGTATCATTCTATGTTTTTTTTTTTTTTTAAAAAAGCAAAATATTATTTTTTCAGCATGTTAAACTGTCATCGTAGATTATGGGCAGCAAATATAGAGAGGAAACAGAATTTTACCAGCTTATTAGGAATTTATTTATCTCTCCCAACCCACTCCTCTCTTCTACTGGCTTGGGCAGCACCTGAGTCACAAACATACACATCTACATTTTTCCCCCTTCCTCTCTCCTGCAAAGTTAATTTGTTTTGATTGTGGTTCAATACTGGAAGTATTTCCCCAAAACCTTGAAGATGATCTACAGCTACACAGAATGATGGCTCACATAAAGCTTATGATTGATCACTGTATGCTAAAGAACCTGAAATAAAACTCCCACTTCAACGCTTCAATATCAGGAAAGACACAACTTTAAAATCAAACATTCAAACAATAAGAGCGGTGCTGCTAAGGTACGCTGCGGCATCTGAGCTTAAAGGACCCAACATTTATAAGAGGGGTTTGCTCAACGGAACACCCTTTCCAATTGGCGAGAAACAGACTAAAGCAGGGGTATGCAACCTTGGCGATTTTGAAAGACCGGTGAACTTCAACTCCCAGCATTCCCCAGCCAGCCAACTCCCAGAATTGACTCCCAGTCAATTCTGGGAGTTGAAGTTGACAAATCTTACGTCATCAAGGTTGAACACCCCTGGACTAAAGGATGAATTTACAAAGGAGATGATAACTTAAGTCTTCATTCCATTTTGACGATTCCCTTTGATGAACCGGGGCTGGTTGAGATGGTATCTTTGAAGCCACAGGTGTGCTGCTCACTTTCTTTCGCTAAGGCCTTGGATGGACAGAGGTAATGACCAAAGTGAGTAACTGCAATAGAGTTACGTCGTAGTCATCCTTCAGCATACTGTGTTATTTTTTCCAAGCCACTGCGATTGGGGAAATTACTCGTAATAATAAGTCACAACTGGGCATATTGCAGGGGAGGGTTTAAAAGAGTCCGACGGATAAAGTTGCATTGCATTGTCCCTGTAAACAATGAAACTTCCTACCACTCTGTGGCTCCCAGCCCAAGGCTACTTATTCTACTCCTGTACTGGAAATGCTCCAAAACAAAAAAAGTTTCCTCGGTGTTACATTTCAATCCAAACAGATAGTTAACCTCACAGCGATGAGAAAGGATCTAGTCAGGCTTTTTGAATTATTATAATATAAAAATAAAAAAAAACGCTTACAAAAAGCAATGCAGCATACCCCGAGGCCATGGATTAACTGCTGGGAGGTGACAGAATTATACACGCTAAAAGAAATAAAAAATAAAAATCCGAACGAACAAATGAACGGAACAATCCACACTGGCAATGAATTCCCGTATACACAATAGAACAAGCAATCGGACATCCTTCTAGGCTGTGGGGGAAACAACACAAATTTCTTTTTTTTTTTTTGTCAGATTACACTTTTTAATAAAAAAAAAAAGATACAATAAAATAAAAACACACAAATAAAATTTTACATAAATGTGAATGTCCAACACTGAAAAAGCAGGGAAGGTCGCAGCTCCGAGACAAATGCGGTCTCCGATGGAGGCTAACTTCGTCTGGATGCTGGATTCCATCAGCCTGAGACGTCGCCCCATCCCTTCCTCGTATCAGCATCATCGTCTCAACAGGAAGCGGAAATCCCAACATTCAAAGAGGTCCGTTTCAGCCCCATGAGCGAGAAGAGTCACTTGGTTAACCAGAAACGGGCCCTGATGCTGCTGCCGCGGCTGGTGGCAGGTCTCCTTTTGTGCTGTCCCCTAGTCTTTATACATTTCCTTGTGCTCCAAGGCGAAGTCCCAAGACCTGTGATTTGGAGTCATTCCTTGGGGAAAGTGATCACGCTGTGGTGATGGCGTTAAGGTCCTTCATTAGTCCTTCCAGGTGGGCCATCTCTTTGGTGAGTTCATCCGGTTCGTAATTCTGTAGGAGATTTAACAGGGTTATTGGACAAGATGAACTGTCTTGTGTGGGGGAAAAGGAAGGTTACCAAGAGCCCTTAGACTTATATACCGCTTCCTGGTGCTTTACAGCACTCTCTAAGCGGTTTACGGTGTCAGCATATGGCCCCCAACAATCTAGGTCCTCGTTTTACCGACTGCCAAGCAGCCAGGAAAATCAGAAGATCCAGGCAGTTCAAATGGTTATAAAGATTTATTGCAAGCTTAAGCTCTCTACAAGAATCTGAACTACTAACGGCCAAAGCAAATTGGAGGTAGATAAGAATCAATGGAAATCAAGGTGGGCTGGACTTAGTTCTCCTGGGGGCACAAAGGGCATATATTTATGACAGTTGCAGCATCCTGGTGGTCATGTGATCACCATTTGCGACCTTCCCAACTAGTTGGCTTTTGATGCTAAGCAAGTCAATGGGGGAAGCTGGATTTGCTTAATGACTGTGTGATTCATTTAACAGCCGAAGGGATTTGCTTCATAAATGGGCCAAAAAGGTTGCAAAGTTAGATAGTACTCCCTTAACAACCTCCTTGCTTAGCAATGGACATTCTGCTCCCACTTGTGTTTATAAGTTGAGGACTCTCTGTATTTGATCTAGTTTCCCTCTGCCTTCAGTGTGCAGTGGGGAAGGGTCTCCCTGCTATTACTTTTACATTTATGCACCGGCACAGAGCCAAATATGACATAGTGTGATCAAGTCATAGTCCAGAAGTACACTTACACTTTCTGTGTCTTCAAGCATCCTTGTGGTTTCCTGCACTTCAGGGGCACTCGGGACTACAACTGGCATGGGAGGCCGAGTCCTGCCTAGAGTTCCAATTGATGCTGTCTTCACTGAATGAACTGGATGGCTAGAAGCTTGACACAGTTATAATCACGGTCAATCTCTTAACTGACAAACGTATGTAATGGCATGTGGATAATGAACCAGGTTTGTGGTGATTCAACACAGTCGGATGCAATGACATTCCTTTCAGGTTTTGATTCTGCACCAAGTCTACACACAGCCCGCCAACTACAAATCAACGGACACTATTATAACTGAAAAACCGCAGAAGCCAAAGACTGAAACTGTTATTTAGAAGCCTTGAATGAACCTAAGCTGGGAGGCCGTAAGGATAATACTTTGGAAAGCAGCGATATATGATCCTAGATGTCATGGACGTTTTGCTGGGAAATTCGTTTAGGAAAATGACGTTCCCAGGGAAAGTCAAAACAGGAAAGATGGCAGCTGTGTCATCGTGATCCAAACCCCTCCCCTTTTGTATAGGCATCAATGAGCCATAGATACACAAAAGGATGGTGCTTCAATTGTAATGCCACAATTGTCTTCTTCCTTGCTTTAATGAGCCCACTTGGCTGCTGGGAAGGAAGAGCAGGAACCACTTAATAGCAATAGCACTTAGACTTATATACTGCTTCATAAGGTTTTACAGTCCTGTCTAAGCCGTTTACAAAGTCAGCATCTTGCCCCCCCCAACTATCTGGGTCCTCACTTTACCGACCTCGGAAGGATGGAAGGCTAAGCCAACCTTGAGCTGGTCGAACTGCTGGCAGGGGGCAGAGTCAGCCTGCAATGCTACGTTCTGCCACCACAGCTCTTAATAGCAATAGCCCTTAGACTTATATACCGCTTCATAAGGCTTTACAGTCCTGTCTAAGCAGTTTACAAAGTCAGCATCTTGCCCCCCCCCCCCAATTATCTGGATTCTCATTTTACCGACCTCGGAAGGATGGAAGGCTAAGCCAACTTTGAGCTGGTCAGGATCGAACTCCTGGCTGTGGGCAGAGTTAGCCTGTAATGCTGCATTCTAACCACTGCACCACCACGGCTCTTAAGGTTCCCTATTTTTGTGGAATTGAGTCCTATCACGGCACCCATGGCAGAACCAGACCCACCTAGCCTATACGAGCATCAGTAACATTTATATCCCAAGTGCAAAGAGATGGGAAAAAAATTATCTTTGGAAGAGTCCCATGGCAATTGTGGTTTACTCAGGGGGGATTTATTTATTCCAAATATTCAACTTTCTGCAACCAGCTTTGATTTAGTACTAGCTATATTTGGGTGATGGCATAATTTCTGCAGCATTTTGACCTTGCCTCTGGCCTCACTACCTCAAAATTCTCATTTGCCTCAGACCGACGGGCAATATCTTATTACTTGCCACTCCTTAGGACTTTTTATTACTTATTCCTTTTTATTGGTACAGCACTCTGTACACATTGAACATTGGACTGGACCCAAAGACTTTAGAGCTCCTGATTATCTGAGAAAGCAATGTTTTAATTGTGATGTTTTTAAAAATGCGATGATAAGTTTGAACACAATTCTGTGAGTAGAATTAGAAGGCTCAAGAAAAGGGCAAAATCATTTTTATATAAACTGCACAGATTTTTTTTCTTAAAAAAAAAGCAAAAGGTGGGGAACGTGGCTATTTTCTTCTAAGCTTCCCTGCTAAATTGGCAAGACAGGAGAGATCAGTTCTTTGCATTAAAGAAAATAAAAGGGTCAGTGTAACAAGAAAAGTGATTTATTCAATACCCCCCACACCAAGACATTCCTGCAGAAGAGTGCCATTAAGCTGATCTTCTACAGTAATTGTGACTTTGTAGCAGTTGTCAAAAACTTCAAAGAAGTTCTGACATTTGTTTCTGGATCAGCGTTTTTTCACATTTGGCAACTTTGAGATGTGAGGACTTAAACTCCACACGTGCTGGCTGGGGAATTCCAGAAGCTTAAAAAAGGAAACGCCAATCTAGAACAGGCGTCCCCAACCCCCAGGCCGTGGACTAGTACCGGGCTGCGGCATGCCAGCAACCGGTCCGCACAAACAAAGCCCCATCCGTGGGATGCAGGCAGCACACAAAACCATTCATCCTTCAGTCCACGGAAAATCCTCTCCACGGAACCGGTCCCTGGTGCTCAAAAGGTTGGGGACCTCTACTTTACAAGCATGGCTATTGTAACTATTGGCTGTATTTGCCCTTAACACTAAGCTAGCAATTTAAGGATGTTTTAACACCCTGGCATTGCCTAGTTCAGGGGTCCCCAACCCCCGGGCCGTGGACCGGTACCGGGCTGCAGCATGCCAGCACAAACAAGCAAAGCCCCATCCACGGGATGCAGGCAGCACACAAAACCACGCACCCTCCAGTCTGCGGAAAAACCTCTCTCCACAGAACCGGTCCCTGGTGCCCAAAAGGTTGGGGACCTATGATCTAGAAGATGTGTTAAGGTATTGCTCACCTATCCTCTCCATTCAACTTTCCCTCTTCCGTACTCACCTTGCTGCGATAGTAAAGGGGTGCTTGGCAAGGCAGGGTCGTAAGCGCTGCCAGTGGGTGGGACGGCTGGCACAGCGAAGCTCTTCAGAGGATGAGAAGGACGGACGTGGGCAGTGGGGAGATTCTGGCCTGTCTCCTCTTCCTGGGTACTGGGTAGGTAGGATGCCGACGCACTCTCTGGCTCTGGGTGTTCGGCACAACATGTCTGAGACGAAGAAGCTGGCATGGTGTCTGTGCTAGGCGTATTTCGAATCGTTTCTGGAAATGAAGGAAGTGAACCGTTAACTTTAACTTTTCAACCTAACACTCAGAGAGTCCCTGAAATTGCCCGGCGCCTTCAATGCTATTCGTTGGGTCACAAACTCTCTTTAGTTCCAAAGAAGGCCAACAAGCTGAGAGAATGAAAAAAAAAAATCACCCCAAAGCTCACTTAGTTAGCACTTATACACAACTCTACACTGCTGCTAAAGTTTTATGCTTTTTATTAAGGCTACATAAAGGGTTAAATTGTTTTTGTTTTAAATCTTAGCATCTGATACAATCACTGAATAATATTAAGCTTTCCAAATCACCCACTGAATTTTCTATCTTATTCATCCCTTCAGTGAAGTGTCTGGAGATTTCTTAGTTGGCTAGCTTTCAGGTGGTTTTATTAATGCTAGGTATAGATTCCTCTAAGCTGTTAGTTTTTCCACATGCGATGCAAAAACGGGGACTCTTGATGTTGGAAATTAAATCAGATGCTACTAGCGCTCTACAATTAAACAAGGGAGCGTTCTCACTTCAGAGTCATTATTTGCAGCTTTAATAATAAGAGAGCAAATTATGCAAATCTAAATTCTCAACAGAGAAGCTGAATTACCATCAGATCCAAGATTAAATAAAATTCCAAAAGCTTAAATGTGCCGTTTACTAAAAGCACAGAAACGACCACCTTATTCTCAGCGCTTAAGGTGTGGAGGGCTGTTGAGCAGTTTAACAGTTCGACTCCCAACAGAACAAAAGTGCGGCAAAACAAATCAAATCCGTCTACAGTGTGTGTGCCGTTGCAAAAGGAAAAAGGAGCACATAATTAGTTCCAATCAGTAGATACAACCTTCCGAGTTTGGTAGATTTGGGCTAGAGATGGGCCACCCAAACAGGTCGTTTGATATCTGCAATTAGATCGCGTGAGGTTCTGGTCCTCACGATTCTCTGGTCCTCCAAAAACTGACCGTTCTTCTCACCTGTGGAATTAGCCCTGTCTGAATGGGACACAGATGTGCCAACTGGCCATAGGTTTGCCTGATGATGGAGATAGTTGCAGGTTGGAGAGGCCAGGCTGCCGGAGTGGAAATGATGGTGAGGGTTATCAAGAGAATGGATGGGATGAGCACTAACCACAGCTGCGAACGAACATAAGACAGAAAAAAAAAAGCTTAACAGAAGACCAACCGGCATGCGGGCTGAAGTGAAGCCCCCCATCCCACTTTCATCAACAAAAATGCATTGAAACAAACAGACAGAGAGACCAGGACGCCCGGTTCCAGAGATCTGGAAGAAGAGACACTGTTCTGTCAAGAAATCCCCAGGGATACAAACATTAGGAAGCAAGAATTGCAGATGCTGGGCTGGCTGGGTGCTGAAAAGCATCTGATTTGCTTGAAAGGAAATTTACTGGTTTCCCGGCACCCTACGCTGAGGTGAGACGTGAGATTGAAGCACAGATGATCAAACTGAAGCGTCTGCCATATATGAGCAAAGAGGAATTATGGTATCTGAGGATGGATTGGCAGCTAGGCGTTGGATCATAATTAGGAATGGGTAATTTTGAACACGGTGTCTCCAACTTTATGGCATTATATAAACGTAATTGGATGCATTCCTCCACATAAAATTGTTCAGTTGATGAACTCGATTTAAAGTGTACAGAAACACATCCCCAAATAAATCACTGATATGATAATTTCCCTTCAGTTCACAATTTCTGCACTCATGCTACTGCCGAGTTCATTTATAAATCTTCGATTCTTAAGTAACCTTAAAGGATCATATTTTCACTATATAGATTGTTTCCTGTGTTGAAATCAACAGAGAAATCCTAGGTTTTAATTGAGCTGGCTGCAGATCCATTACTTTCCGCTTGCTGTAGTTAGGTTATTCTTTAACCCATGTAAACATAATGCTTTTAAAATAAAACCCAAAGAAAGTTTAATTCCCTGTTCCCACACTGCCAATGGAAGGGAATATAGTTGTGAGATCATGATAAATGATAAACCTGCAATGTATCTTATAATGAATAGTATCAAAGATCTGAATAGTTTAAGATATATTGCAGATTGGAATAAAATAAAGAGTACAGCTTACAACAAACTCAGTAACTCAACTATTCTCATGTTACTGGTTCCATTATTCTATGCCAGCCTTTAGCCATAATAAAACTTAGTTTTCCAGTAAAAAGAACCACACATTAACAGCACACCATGATAGAAAGAAATAATCTCTGAAAATGAAGGAACGTTACTGATCTCCCTTTATTAAGGTTGAGGGGGAAAAAATAGCAGGATCTGGCTAATTTACAATTGCAATCTGGCACTGATCTGTGTGGTTCTGGCATTTATCTACTCCATAACAGTTAAATAGATTAAATTGATAGAACCCTCAGTTGTACATGACCATTTTTTGGACTGGCCATACATAAACAATGGCTGTGCAAACTCCATTTTTGCTGGTAATATTTGTAATTTAACTCTGCTAGGCTTGTCATTAGCATATTGCTATGGAGAACCATAAATTACATCCCTATACTAAGGTGAAAAGTCCAAGCCCGTTCATTTCCGGGTGTAAGTCTAACCTGTGATATAATGCAGGCTATTCTGCTCAGAATATCTGCACGACACACAGACAGGCAGGTTGAATTATTTTCTGCTGCTGGGATGAATCTACAAAAACAAGAGGGCCTGGGGTTGAAGTCCCAGTCGAAGGAAAATGTAAACAGGCTATTTAGCCAGAAGTTTAATTACTGCTCTTAAAACTTGGGCATTGGACTATTGCTTTAAACGTACGGCAAGCTAATCTTGCATGGATGAGATGGAGCCAGAACCGTGTTTGACTCAATCAAGTCGGCTTTGGGAGGTAAACCCTGAAGCTAGACTTACGTTGAGGAGGTTGAGAATCAAAGGGCATCATCATCTTTGGCCGCATCCCTCTTCTTCCTGCCAGGGTGGACATGCTATCCTCTGACTCATGCCCTGGATTCAGAAGATCAAAAGTTAGGTTCTGCTCGTCTTGATGTCCATTAGGAAACAGTGGTGGAGAACCTATGGCACGCGTGCCATAGGCGGCACTCAGAGCTCTCTCTGTGGGCACACGCGCCATGCCCCGGAGATGGCAACTGTCCCTCTTCAACCAGCCGTCCGCTAACTCGCCGAGGTCTCAGGTGGCTGGATGCATCCCAGCATGGCTGGTTTCCCTCCCCTCCATCCCATCCCTCCTGGCCTCACATGCTCTCCTTTTCCCGGGCACGACCCACTGCATCGCCTCCTCAGCTGTCAGCTGGCCGTCCAGCTCAGAGGCGGCTTCTCTGAACTGCTGGCGGCGGGCTGCGGAGCCCCAGAGTGCGCCGGTCGAGGAGCTGGCAGGCTGTGGCTCCTGACGGACACTGTCGGCCCCCATGCACTTGCTGGCCTCTGTGTGTGGGGGACGATGGTGTCAGGGAGCAGCCGCCCCGGCCCCTGCCTCGCCTTGCCCTGAGACAATGGCAACCCCGCCCTGCCTCGCTTCACCTCGCCTCACCCCGCAGGACGAGCCTCCTGCCCACCGCCCCACCTGCCAGAGACCCTCTGGATCTCCCCCAACCCTGACTAGCCCCCCAGGTGTCCCTCCCCACGAGCAACATCAAGGTGACCACGCCCACCTTGGCCAACCCACCCAATCTGCCATGACCACCACAGCCACGCCCACCCAGTGGGCCACGCCCACCTGGCACCCGGCGATAAATAAGTGGGTTTTGGGTTGCAGTTTGGGCACTCGGTCTCTAAAAGGTTCGCTATCACTGTTAGGAAAGAACCGTAAGATTCAGCAGGAAAGCATTTTAAAACAACCATCTTTTCCTAAAGAGGGGCCCTTCAAGTATTGAAAAAGTATTTTCACTGCCTTCAAAAAAAATGTTTCATTCAAAGAAATCTGCAGCCTTTGCGGCTGAAATTCTCAAAAGTGGAGAAGAATCCACTTTTTAGTAATACAAATGATATGCTCGACAATAATGAGCCATTAATAGCATTACTACTGCATTTTTTTTTCTGATTTACATTCTGATTGTCAACGCTGCTAACACTGGATGTTTTTGCATTGACAACAGATGGAAATGTAGCCATCTTTTACCTTTTTGCTTTTAGAGTTAGATGATGCTGGGAGGGGGGATGTGAACGAGAGTCCAGCTAGAGCCAGTGTTTCTCAACCTTGACAATTTTAAGGCATGTGGACTTAAAGGCATGTGGACATTGCTGGCTGTGGAATTCTGGGAGTTGAAGTCCAAATGCCTTAAAATTGTCAAGGTTGAGAAACACTGAGCTAGACATAACAACACTGAATCCAGCGTGAGAAACAAGGTTATTGTAACCAGAGCTGATAAGAAATTGACAGGAAAGGAAGCCCACACTTCAAGCTAATTGGGGAATGTGATTTATGACTGTTAATTGGAGGAGGGAATTATGCTTTGATACTATGTGCTCAGGGGAGGGGAATTCAGTTTTTGGCTTGATTATGCAGTACCGATGTTATGCTACTCAAAATAAAGATTCTTTAAGGTAAACAATGCCTCGAAGTTCTTTTGAAGAGTTTCATCTGTCGGAACCATGACATCTGTTATGTAAACATGGAATGATTAGTAAAAAAAAAATTTGTGGCAACTGAAGTGAGCTGTCCTAATAGGGGAATTTTCACAACTCTTCACCACAATCTATTCTATGCAACTTTGTTACGTCGGGTTCTATCATTTACTACCAAGCTAAGAATGAGGTCAGCATCATCTATCCTCACCTCTGTATGAGTTTCGTCTCTGGTGAATGTTGCTGTCCATAGAGTTGTCAACGGGTGTGATGTCTTGGGAATTACGAGGGATTGGGGTATCGGTCATGATAGGATTGGGATCTGGAGATTTATCAATAGGCTTCAGCTCCAGCCTCTCGTGATGGATCCAAAGATCCGGTGGCTTGACGTCCTTGGAATTGCCTTTGTATTTATGAGACCCATTCACAGATTTACAAGCGGCTCGTTTTCTTTGAAAGGAAAAAAAAAACCACTTATCCCATTTTCCTGCAAGAATGATCTTCTATAAAAGTATCTTTGCGAAGAATAACGCTGCCCAGTAGTACTTTTTGTGAGGGTCCTTGGTGCTCTCTGAGCTTGACTGTTTTCTTGCAGATTACCCAAACTAGGTAACCTCATTAGTACAAACAACCAAGCTCAGAGAGCAGATTTCAACCCTGAGCTACCAATATTTCCCTTTATTAATATGCTTTGGATTGTGCATGAAGGATCTTCATTCTTTCTTTCCAAATGCTCATCTCAAAGAAGGGTCCTTACGTATCTTACTTGGGTGCCAAAGTCCATTCTGTACCATCAACATTTTTACCTCTCAAGCACCGAGAAGCAGCATGAAGGCAAACAGTTACTGTTTTCACTTCTGCTGACTTTAAATATTGGGGACTGTCCTGCCACTGGCTGCTGTATATCCTGTGGCAATGAAAATCACCTCATCCACACTTAATGCAGAAGGGGAAGGAAGCAGCTATGGAGATGACCTTGGAGAAGTCATCCAGAAGCTGTTAAGACCACCAGATCTTATCACTGTAAGCCTATCTCAATAAAGCATAATTTTAGCCTTCCTGCAGAACCAGTTTCTTCATCTGATCTACTTCTATGCTGGCAAACAGAAAAAAAAGAAAAGAAAATATTATCAGGGAAGAGTGAGGCAAATGTTCCTACCATGGAGAAACAGAGGCACAGCAGCTCATAAAAAAACAAACAAACCCATCCACCCAAAATATAGTTCTGAAATGGTTTCAACTATACTGAATCCGAACCATTATTAACTATCATTGCATATTATCTGAATACATTAATTCACCCTCCAACATTATTCATATTATAGAATCAGAGAAGTCTAGAGCTGTTAAGCAGGCACAGAATTTTTATTTGAGAAAGCCCTAAAATTTAAGTCCACAAAAGTAAAATAGGCAACTTTAGTGTGCCTTTTATTTTGCTTTCATTGTAAATCTGTATCCCTGAAACCAGCAGAAAGACATTCACTCACTCACCCCCCCCCCCCAAGGCAACTGAAAACAAAACCTTACTTTTTTTGGTGAGAGGTGGTCCGTCGCGTGCAAAATACAGCAACAATCACTACAACCACAATGGTGATCACTCCCACAGACACAATTATTATCAGAAGCATATTGTATTCTAGGGGGGAGGGGCTGCCATGAGGGCTGTTGCTTCCTAAGAAAGAACAGAAAAATTACTCAAAATTATTTTAGAGCTGTAATTTCAATGTGAATGAAAGAATTGAAAATTACTGCTTAGGCTAAATCAAAGCCCATGTTATGCGAGAGATACATCCTGCCTTGTCAGGAATTCCAACTGAGTTTTTCTCTAATAAGCCCTTGACACTGAAAATTGACCTGAAAATCACTATATTTGGGGAAATTATAACATGAACCGTTTCAAGTGCTTGGCCACAAACAGAGATGAGAAGATACTGACCACTGATGGGTGTTTTATAATCTGTTCCAACATCCACTGGCCGGTTTCCTTTTCCTGCAGATCCCAATGCTGAAAAATAAAAAAGTAACATGTTCAGGGTTTTGACTATCTCATCTTGTTCACTTTTGAAAATTTAATACATTGTTCTTTTGGTTTTACACAGATCACAGATAGGCAATTTGTGGCTCTCCAGCACCTATTCAGTTTGAGATTAAATTACCCCAAATATGGATTATGGTTAGGGTTATGGGAACAGGAGGGTTCCAATAGGCCAACAACTTTTTTTAAAAAAGAGCCCTCTCAAAAACATCAATGCCAAGTTGTGCCAGAGAATTTAGATTATTTTGCTAAAGAATTTTAGTGGAAAAATATTGGACTTTTTTTGGGGGGGGAGGGAGTTAAAGGAGGAAATAGGAACAGTTCGATTCTCATAATACTTTTGCTTCAATCCCCAATGTTAAAACGCTAAAAAAACAAACCCTAAAGCCCCTAAAAATATATTTGGAAGTGTTAATTACATCCTTTTTTGTAATCTCATCAAATAACTGGTCTCTGAAGCCCTCTAAGAGGCTGAGTTTTTGTCTGATTGCCCACCTATCTCCAAGATAGACACATACTCCAAGTACACACACACACACACACAGATATACACCGAGAGATTGTAGCAGATATTTAAAGACGTCAAACTAATTATATTAATAGCGATAATATACCTTTGTAATCAAAGCCTAAATCTTTTCTGATAACAAGACAAAATGTAATTTTATATACATGTAATTTTCTGTACATGTTTTTCTTTTTTCCTAATTCCCTTTCCCCCATTTTTTTACAGCTGGAGCCTAATGCTTATCTTACAAGACCTCATACTATCACTGATATGGCAGGTATTTTCAAGACATATTAAATCCAAAAGGGAAGTGGGCACATTATGATTATCCCCCCTGCTTAATCCTTTCTAACAAAGCCCAGATCACATGTAAGAATCTCTACAACCGATGTAGCATCCAGTTCTTGACAAATTCCAGTTGATAGATGTTCCTGTCCTTTGGGGGCTGATAAGAAGTAAATGTAGTGAAAAACTCACTTCAAAGAGAACACAAGGCTGGATGATTGCAACCGTTCTTTGCCACTGAGGGCCTTTATTATTCTTATTGCTTTCTTGCTTTCGTTTATTTAAAGCTATTGTATATTGATTTTGGTTTCTGATAACCATATACAAACAAATCCTTATTTATTTATGTGAATTATTTTTGCAACCGTATTGTCAGGCCTTCTAAGAAATAAAGGAATACTATAAGAGTAAAAAAAAACAACCCTAAAAGATTAAAAAAAAATCAAAACTCCCATCCAATAAATGGAATATTTTCATTTTAAAAAGAGCGAAACGTAGTGGCATACAGAGAGTTTAAAAGTCACTGTGGAGTTTTTAATTTGCAATAATTTCACTTTAGATTTTTTAAAAAATTGCATACATTCCAAATATACTGTCCGCCAAAAGGAGCCCCAGGGTTTTATATTTTAAAATTTCACAAGAATATTGTCATTCAATAGCACAAGTAGAACAATAATACTCATAAAAGATAGCACCACAACATAAAGCAGATTTATTGGTTTACCTTGATCATTAGACATTTTATCTGATGATTCAGCTACCAAGGCAAGCACAGGGGAAGAAGAAGCACACAAGAGAGCAACGTTCAGTGACATGGAAAGAACAATCTCTGAAAATGATACTCATATTGGACACTATGAAACTCAAATGTCCTCCATTACCGAATGGTCACTTAGTGACCATTCAAAATTCTGATGGGACCTCCCTGGAGGGTATTTATGACCCAAATTCAAAGTTCTGATGGGACCTCCCTGGAGGGTATTTATGACCCCCCATTATTATGTGACCACATTTCAGGTGCTCAGCAACCAGCCCGCATTTACGGCTGTTTGTAGCATCCCGTGGTCATGTGACCGCATTTTCCTGACTGGTTTTGTTGAAAAACTGGCTTTGGTTAATGACTGCTGTAAAAGAGGCTGTAAAAGTCAGGTGGGTCACACATGGTTTACCCAATGTATAACCAGCACTATAAAGGGCAGGTTCCAATACGGTCATAACTTGAGGCCTACCTGTACTACTGCTAAAAACGTAGGTGGAATCTTTCACCTAATGACAAAACCTTTTGCAAGACACAAACTTGGGGCTGAAAAGAAGCAGAGGCACCCATCTGTACGGTTTCCTCAACAGCCTGTCGCTTGAAGAAGAAAAGAGAACGAGGAAGCAGCAGGCCAGAACGACAGCAAGGAAGGAAAGAGGCACGAGGAATAAAAAATGGGACTTTTCTCCCGGCTTGCTTCAGCTTTGACCAGCCGTGGCATGCCATCCAGCTCCCAAAAGATGAATCCTGGGAGAACGCATCTCTCAAAGAGACAAGGTTGCCCACCCCTGGGCTAAAGCCTTTCAGAAAGCATTAGCTGCTCTTCAGATCAGCCAATATATTACATAAATCTCAGAAACCTATTTCCTAACAAAAACATTCCAGGCCGCTGCGTTGCAGCGTAGAAGTCCAGATAATAATAATAAGTTCTTCTAATGAAGACAATGCCTGATAAACAATCTGCTAAAAAAAACCCCATGTAAAATATTGCTTATCACAAAAATACCCTTTAATTTAGTGCTTATTGGTTTTCACCCTGCAGCAGAGGTTCCCAACCGGGGGTGTGAGACGATATTCCAGGGGGTGTGAAAACTTGGGTTTAGAAGTTTCAAAATTATAGCGTATATGCATAACCAGGTATTACTTTTGTAAGGGGTGCGAGAATGTATCAGAATCTTACTTAAAGGGCTAAGGAGATTTTAAAAGATATTAACTGATTTAATATTTAGGACTTAGATTTATAAGGGAAATGAAAATTAGCCATTAGCATATAGTTTTGAATTATAATACGGAAGTTGGATTGAGACAACAAAGGATACTTTATTAGTAAGTGATGAGGTACTAGGATGAGCAATAGAATATATTTGTGAAATTAAGTAAGAATGTACTTAAATAAACAATATGTGTGTTTTAGATATGGCAACTATTTTGTAATGAAATAAGGGAAATTTGGGTTACCCGAAGTCTAAATATTTAAAGGCTAAATTGGAACACTGTAATTGAAGTTAGGTAAAATTTAAAAACAGGACATGGATATGTATAAGTTAAAATATATTGATAAATGCCTTAATTGATTGAGTTATAATTAGAAATGTATTAATTTGAATGTGATATAATAATCAAGGGAAATAAGAGAGGGAATTTTTGATGATGTAACCTGAGACATGTACGAAAGATCTTGTTACTGGACTATTGATTACCCAATCACCACGCTGCTTCCTAAACACTTGGGATGTAAAACTGGAAAATTAATAAAACTTGTTGTTGTTTTTTAAAAAAAGAAACATTCTAGGGGTGCAGGGTATAGAAAATGTTAGGAACTGCTGCCCTACAGAAATAACATGAAAGAATTACTACCTACCTTTCCTTTATCACAAACGTTTTAACAACTGTTTGTTTCCATCCACCTGGGTCATGGCAAAGTAAAACCAAAATCCCAGATAGAAAATTACCTTTTTAAAAATGTTTTACAGCTCCCGGTACCAGGTGAAACCCATTTTTCCTCATCAATTGCTTGTTTCATATAGTAAATCAGAAGCGTTGGGCCTTCCGCTGCAACCTACCTTTAGGTGTCCTGAATTGAACGGCCTCTGACATAGGGCCCATGCCTTTGGAGTTCCGGGCTTGGATCTTGAAATAATACGCTGTGTCAAGGGTCAGCTCTTGAATCTGGTGGGTCAGTCTATTGCCTACGACGGGTTCAATGACCCAATCGTGTATTTCAGCATTGGCATCGGTGTTATAGTAAATTATGTAGCCTGCGTAACAAAAACAGAAGAGCTGGTGAGTTATGAAGGCATGTCTCCAAGCTCTGAAAAAAAATCACGTTTTCAAGTTTTCGTCTTGCAATCTCTTCTCCTAAAAACACAGGTTTTGAACTATTGCCATTAGAAAAAGTGTGTGCGTTTAAGGAGGGCGAGACCATCCCTCCCCATCCATTCATTTTCTTTTAGCCCAGCCCTCAACCACATGTACACCTTCTTCCAGATGTTGCTTAAACTGGCAAATTTTGTATGTGCCAAGAGTTTGTAAACATATGTAGTAAGGTTGTACAGCACTTCCAATTCAATCCCCCAAAGTGGTTCAGAGTGCCCAAGGGCACAAATACAGCATCTCTTTTGCAACTCTGTCAAGTAGCTATTTCTTTTCCTGCCATTGGGCAGCTGCTCTCCACAGCTGTTGTGCAACTCTGCCTGGGGTGGTGGGAAGCTACTTAAGAAGTTGGAGACAAGCAATACATCTCTAGTCCTCCGTACTCTGAAGTATCTTTCTGAAATCGTATCTGAAGCATTGCACAACTCAGACATTTGCACAGGCAAGGGACAACTGCATGCACACTGTTGCATTTGTTGTGCATCCGATGAATCATCCCTTTTGCCACCCAAAAATATGTAAGCACAATCAATAAAAAAAAACTTAAGAGTGGATCCAACATAACTAGTATCTTTCTTCTCATTTATCTGTAACCACATCATCCTCACTGTATTTTATCCAAAAGACATTTCACCTGTAATTTTGCCATTGGCTTCAGATGGAGGCTGCCAGTTGACAATTATAGTTCTGGGCTTTCCTTCTTTGCTTACCACCGTTACATCTTTGGGTGGAGAAGTTGGAACTGCAAGAAAATGTCAATTAAAAACAGATCTTTATAATCCAGAGTGTTTTCTACAAAAAAAAAAAAAAGGCTAAAGCAAAGGAAATAACAACAACATAATCCTGTTAATAAAGGCATGGCATATGACGAATACCTTGTTCAAAAGTAGTGCCATGGGCTGTCATGCTCCATGTGCTTGCTCTTCGGCCTTTTGTCACCATGACAGAGAATTCGTATAAGGTGTTTGGTTTTAAGCCGGTGACCAAGAAGCTTAAGGTTGTTGTATTTGCTGTCTATGAAAATCAGAAAATAAAAGTGTAAAATATTTCGTTCCTATTGTTCCCCTTTCTCTTGCTCACTCATGGAAACAGACATTCAATTTCTTTTTTGGTTGCAGAAGGTTTGGGCAAAATTCCTGCGATCCCACCATTTTCCTTACCTTGTACTTTGTGTTTGCAGGGATGTTGGTTTTCCAGCGGACGGTGTAGTAACGGTTATCTGAAACCTTCTGGCTCTTTGGCAGAGAATTGTCTGCCCAGGTAATGCGAACGGTGTCGTGGCTCAAGATGGAAGCCTGAACTCCCACGGGTGGCATCATGGGGGAGGGGTCTGGCACTGGAGTGTATGGAGCATTAACAACAAATAAATCAACTTCAGAAGTGTCTAAAGAATTGATGGGTAAAATGTAGGGTATTGCAATACAAAAGAAAGGTGGCGTTTATACGTGAATAGAAACAAAAGGGTGGAATGCAGGGTAATACAATGGAATGAGAGGTGAGGAGTGGAGAAAAAGAGAGAAAAGCCAGAGTTAATAAGCAACATGGCACCAGCAAAAAAACAAGACCTCAGTAATTATTTTGCTTCCTTTTTAAAATACACGGCATCCACAGATTCTACAGGACTTAGCATTTGAGTAGGTTATCGAAGATAACGAGGACAATGACTTTCAAACCTGGGTATTCATTTGAAAGTTTACTAATTGGGATATACAGTATTATAGTTGCATTAAAATATTAATTTATTCCAACTCTGGAAAATCAAGGTAGAATTAGCATCCAACAGAGACAGTGATAGAGGAGTAAACAGGATTAATGCCTAGTATTAAAAGGAAAGTCTGCATTTCTGCAAGCTGAAAGACATTCAGAAAATATCTTTATAAGAACAACTAGGATCTAGCAGCCCAGCAACAAAATACCAAATCAGTGTTTTCTTTCAAATTACCTACCAGATAGTGCCTTTTGTCAAACAGTAACAATTTAACAAATCAGCTAGGATGATTAAAGGACTGGAGACTAAAACATATTAAGAACGGTTGCAGGAACTGGGTTTGGTTACTCTAGAGAAAAGAAGGACCAGGGGTGACATGATAGCAGTATTCCAATATTTGAGGGGGCTGCCACAAAGAAGAGGGGCTCAACTTATTCTCCAAAGCACCAGAAGGCAAGACCAGAAACAATGGATGGAAACTAATTAAGGAGAGAAGAAACCTGGAACTAAGGAGAAACTTCCTAACAGTGAGGACAATTAACCAGTGGAACAGCTGGCCTCCAGAAGTTGTGGATGCTCCATCACTGGAGGCTTGTAAGAAGAGACTGGACAGCCATTTGTCTGAAATGATATAGGGTCTCCTGCTTGAGCACGGGGTTGGACTAGAAGACCTCCAAGGTCCAGCTCTATGCTGATTGACTGATGGATTGATTGATTGACCTCTCTACAATGTTTAAAAGTTTGGTTTTTATCCAACTGGTCGTTTAGTTTAAAAAATGATAACGACACACAGTACTGAAAAACATAACATGCTTTTGATTGACATGGGTCTAAACCAACATGCTTACAATTATAATACTGTAGATTGGGAAGCTCAGCAAACAAATTTAAGAATGTATAATTCATGCCATGGCCAATGTCCCAAACTGATAGTAGGGGTTATAAAGGAAATCAGGAAATCACTGATCCAGATTTCAAAGTCATTGCTCAGAAGACAGTTCAGCAAATCATCTCTGAACACAGAACAAAGAAACAAGCCATCAGCAAACTAGATATGGTTTGTACTTCCAATATATTTTTTAGCTAAACCATCTTGGCTATCCTATCTTTACCTGTATAGGCTCTAGTCACTGCACTTTCATAAAGAGGAATTCCTTCACCAACGTTGTTATATGCTTTCAAAGTTATCACATAATGGGAACTGGGATCTGGAAAAAAAATTATTAATTCAATTTTTATAGCAAATCATTACTTTTTTCTATTATAATAAATGTGCTTGATATTTTCACATACAGCATGAAACCGCACGATGCACACTAGAAACATCTGTTTTCAGAGATAATTCAAAATAATTTAGCTTTATTGTATTAACTCAGGCACTACAACAAGAATTAAAGAAACTTAACATTCGTTCATTTTGCTATTATTTCCAAACATGAAAACTAGAGTGAATATAGATACAGACACTTTTATCACCAAAGGAGGACATAAAAAGCAAGCATTTGGATCAGCATTGATTTTATATTGTTACTTAGCGAAGTATCAGATTAAAATCTTTTGTAATTACCCAAATTTTCAATAGTGTAGTATCGTTGCTTATAATCCACCTTGATAGTCTGAGCGTGTGGACTGCCTACACCATACCCTATAGCATAGCCTCTGACCACAATGTTTTGGTTTTCTGGTGGGGTCCAGCTGACAACAATACTGGTTACAAGTGGACGGACGTGCAACGAACTTGGCACTTCTGGAACACGAGTTTCTACAAAGAAGAGAACTTATTTAAATACGTTAAGCTAAGAAATAATAAACCTAAAGGACTTATTTACTTTTAAGTGACGTCACCAAGTTATTTAAACCATTATATCCGCCCAGAGTCACCTTATAGGGGAGATGGGTGGCACAAACATTTAATGAATAAATAAATGTAAAATAAATAAAATAAAATACCGTAGCTTCTTAGCCCTATAAAGTACTACTGATGTCAGGACTACCTTTACTGTAACAGCTAGAGTGACAGAATCTTGCAAGTCTGGATGTGCCTCCCACCCTTCATTTCTGCCTTTTCTCACGAAGCTTTCACGTTCGTAACACATGTACTCTGGTTAAATCTTGGTTAACCATACCATCAAGGTCGCTTTCAAATGTTTCTGCTGATATCCAATCCGTAGCTATTCCTGTGCCATTAACTGTTAAGGCAGCCACTCGGAAGCTGTACTCGGTACCTCGTTCCAAACCTGGTACAAAACACATCATACTGAAATATAGTCTTCAATATTAATTGCAAGCAAGCGTTCTGCTTCTAATTAGAACAGCAATAGTTCCATTATCCTGTTACTTCAAAGTGCCCCAATGAGTATCTTCAAATGATGATTATTTCGAAGTTATCATTTGAGTCACGGCTGACACAGATCTAGTTAAACAAATAATTTTATGTTTTGGCCTTTCATCTTCCTGATGATTACTGGAGCATAACCCACAGCTAAGCAGGACAAATCAACAACGTTTGCCGTAAGGCTCCAAAAGATTTGGTTGACAGAAATTACTATCTATCAAGCCTGAGAGGACTGACACACTGCAATGACCTTTCCTGTATGTTGGTGGCAAAAGACTATGTAATTTTCCTTCAGCAAATAGGAGGACTAAAGAGTTCCAAATGATTTACTCATTTTATTTCCACAGCAGGTGGTCTTAACATTTTCTATAAAAGCAAAACACCTAGACAAACACGTTAACAAAACAAAAGTGAATTAAAATATTCTCATCTGATAAAATCTGATTTAGGGGGACATTTCTAGATGGATTAAGCCTTATTTCAAGGACAGAGAAGGCAGAACAAAAGAGGGACTTCCCGAGAGATAAGAAACGCCCGCCAATCTTTAGGATGGCTTGACTGAAAAAGGAGCATCTGTGATGAACCCACAAACTAGAATGAGCTAAGAGCAAAAGAAATATTACAAGGACAGAGAAGGTTATTTTGTATAATAGACCCTCTTGTTTTCCTAAAATAAGAAGCTTGCAGTTAGTTTAGGTTATTATTAGATTGGGAATTCCAACTTATTCACCTTCAATGAGCTGTGAAAGTTGTGTCCCCACAATGATTTCGGTGACATCACTTTTGCGTATCACTTTTCGGTAGCGAATCTTATAGCCAGTAATTTGCCCATTGTGTGTTCCTGTGGGAGGAGGCTGCCAATGCATCATAATGCTCTGTGGGAAGTTAAACGGCATTATAAATCATATTCTCTAAATTAAATTAGGCTAATTGTCATGCTTCATTAATCTCCACTATACTGGTCCGAGAAATAGTTTACACATACTTAGAAATATTATATATAAACTTAATATCTCTGACTTTAAAATTATGTATCTGGAAACAACTCAATTGTGTAACTTGCAAATAATATTGTATGTATGTATGTATCAATAATTTCCACAACATACTTTGAAACATCAACATGACTCTTCACCATTGGTCCTGAAACAATGAAAATCTTCACTATTGGCACACTGAGCTAGTACAGTCAATGATTACTGCAGCTTTTAAGCATGCAAATTGAGATTTTATCCAGTCCAAAAATAGGGAAGTTTATAAATCACAGCTGATTCATCATACACTCAAGATCTAAGGAAGAAAATAAAATGCTTCATCTTATGTCTAAAGAGAGAAGTGTCTTACCTTAGAGTTTTGCACTTCTAGTGTTAGATTCTGGGGCGCAGCACTGGGAACTAGAAATATTAAAAGAAGTTACTCAAATCTGCTTCAAAATTGAACATCTCTCAGGGAGCCCTATATCCCCAATGTAAATTAAAAATGGAATTATAGCTGTTTCAGTTTAAAATCAAGTAGATTTTACCATGATCTCCCAATTTCACTGCATTTGTGGATGTGTTTGTGCGCGTACGTGTGTGTGTAAATTTTCAGAGCAGTATCTACAAATCTACTGCCAAGATAATAATACTTTGTGTTGATAGAAGCAAATTGGTTATGTACAAAATGCAAATAAATACATATGAATTCTTTCTGTAATTGGAAAACACTTACCATCTGACAGGGTTCGAATGACAACATCTTGAGTAGAGACTCCTGGACCATGCTTATTGTAAGCCACAACTCTGAAACTATATTCTGTATATTTTTTCAAACCAATTATTGTATAGGAAAGACCTCCAACATCAATGTCCTATTTAAAAATATGAAAAATTATGATGTATAAATCATAATTTGGGCTCGATAATGTATTTAATATGCTCAATCCACATGAGGCTGAAATTATGGCTATACTTGAATATTTGCTCATTTCTGGTTCTGGAGATTTCTCTCTCTCTCCCAGCTATCCTGTGTTCATATCATAAACACAATATAATCGAGGACAAAATAATCTATTTAGATTCAAAGCAAAGCTTCCTAAACAGTCAGAATAACAAAGGCATGGTTTTTGAATAAATGAATGCTTTTATAGTTTTGCACCAATAAGATCAAAAATAAAAGGAAGTATTGACAAAAGTATTTTGACGAAACTCCCAAGATCTGGATTTCAGTATTAATTGAAATACTTGCCATAGATAATAAATATTAGCCTATCTCAAGAAATGCTAATCTTACTAATCTAGCTATTTGATTAACAATGATGGTGAAGATGTTTATATGGTCAAGGATCCAAAACGAACAAAAGTAGCTAATCCTAAAGAGAACTGTCATTGCTGACAAGACTTGTCACTCAACATTGGATAAATCCAATGAACTGGATACAACAATATATCAGGAAGACCAAAACTGTTGGTTTATCAAAATAGACATTGGTTTAAAACTCGTAGTGCAGGCATGTCAAACTCGCGACGTCACGTGACATCGCGCAACGTATCGGGCCGGTTTTGCCATTGCCGGCAATGGGGTGGGTGTGGCTTCCACGTGACGCGTCCGGCCCGCAGACCGACAGTTTGACACCCCTGTCGTAGTGGGTGAGGGTAAGCCATTGTTCAAAGCCAAAGCAAAAACTGGATTTTAATATATGTGAAAATTCATCAGAAGGTCACTCCACCAGACAATTAGCATCAGGAAAAAGTCACCTCTTCGTATATTGCGAGCAAGAGCTCAGAGAACAGGGGCATCCCTATCAGCCCATGCTTTTCTTGAGGAGACATTCTGATCTAACTGGAGTAGGGTTTTTTCTAGGTCTTAGCTATTAGCAGCAACAGCAAATGATAAATAGATCCAAGAATTATATCTCATAATCGTGATACGCAAATGTAAAAATTACTTTCTTAACATACACACTAATGTATCTCACCTGTTCATTCTCTGTTCCTTTCTCCATGTAATACAGTTTGTAGTTCTGAATCTCACCGTTGCCAGATAAGGGTGTACCCCAAGTAACAGTGATTGACGTGGGAGAGGTAGCATATGCACGAATGTTGGGGGCTGGACCTGGAAGCTGAACTAAATAATAAGCAGGGCATATTACAAAATAATAATAAAAAAATATTAACAACAAACTGTAAAAAGAGCAATGTAAATAGCATTCTATGAAATATATAGGCCCGCCGATATTTAATGCTTACCCTCAGGCTGTGTGGCTACTTTCAATGGTACTGAGCTCTCCCCAGGTCCATGTTTGTTTTGTGCTACCACTCTGAAAATATATACTGTTTCAGGCATCAGGTTTTGGACTGTCACTTGCATTTCTCCGGGATGACTTGTGTTTTCAACACGCTCCCTTTATTTAAAAAAAAGGGAAAAAAAGATTTGGGAGTGGAAATGGGCAGTTATGACTTATTAGGACAGATTATTGTTGTTTTATGTTGGAATGAAATCATCAGTTATGGGTGAATATTGCTACTGCTGTTTTGTAAATCATCCAGATCAAAGTATCTTAAAAAGTTAAATCATGGTGACAGTTGCCATGATTTAACTATTTAAGATACTGCTGTTTTGACTTACTCTAGGACAATCAATTGGGCAGCCATAGCTTTGCATTATAAAAGATGCAAAGTAACTATGATAAACTTCATTGAATTAATGTGGCCTAGATGATATAAAATAAACTCATTTGTAACCCCCTTGGTCTTCAAATAACGGACACCTAACTTTTAATACAACTTGAACAAAATATGACTTTTCAGTCAGAAATTTGTACAACATGACCTGCTTAAAAAAAGCACTACAATGTTTTTATCAGGATTTACAACCTGGGAGCCCAGACTGTTAAAAGATCTGCCACAAAAAGATGAATAGAAAAAAATGAAGCAAATAATTATTGCAGAACAGTATATATTGTACAGCATATAGAGACTCATGACTGGAAGTATTTAATACAATCTTTGCACGAGTGGAATCTGAGGGTATCTTCCATCAATGATCTATGCCTTTGGCATAGCTTGATATCTTAGCATCACAAAAGCCTGCACAATTTTGTGAAATCAGCTGAACTAAATATCTAATTCTGGTTATTTTCATATTTAAACTTCAGTCTGTAGTACTTACTAAAATTGGAGGCTGTCATACTTCGCCTATCAGCCCAATTACTGTTTTTTAGTTATGGGCCAATACTCCTAAAGGCTCACAGTTTAGCAATATTTAAATAAGCACACCTGTTACTCATTTCCTTGGTGTAGAACACTGAGTAGGTAAGATTGTCTCCCTGTGGGTCAGATGCAGGGGTCCTCCATGTTAGCTTGATGAAACGAGTAGACACAAGGGACGCCACAACATCTCGAGGGGCAGAAGGCAAAGGTCCAGTTGTAGCTGGTGCTAGATGGTCAGTAGTGGCACTGGTCAGTGAAGTGGGAGGTAATGTTGGGATGGCAACATCTTGTCATGTGCAAACATTGGGGAATATGAAGGGCAAACATCACGACGATTTAAGGAGAAAACAGAAAAAAAAACCAAAAAAAGAAATAAACAAAACCACGATGGAAAACAAAATAAAATGAACACACAAAAAAGGCCATTAAACTGAAAGCTGGCATGCGGGCAAAAAGGTAACTACTGAAAACTAATGGGAAATATCAAAGAGACATCACTATTGGAGAAGCAATCAAAAATCTCCATTGTAATGAAAGTGAGAAGGAAGGGTAGGATGAAAATTACAGATCAAGTATCATTTCATCATTAAAACATTAGTTTCTGAAAATTAAGTCTGGTTATGGGGTAATAGTTAATTTTTAGAAAACAATCTGTTCAAATCTGCAATCAAATGCATGGAGGATTATGACATCTGTCCTTAGCAGAACTAGGACAGAAATGCAGAACATTCAACGTAGCACAGTAAAACTTCTTAAAATATTGATAAATTACGTAATTTTCCATTTGGGACATTTATTTTTTAGTGATCTCAAATGCCTCACTCTGAACTGTCATACTAAAGTGGTCATGCTAATTTAAAATGGCATTTCTTTTTAATGCAACAATTATCTTTTAATTAATTGCTCTGAACAAAGAAGAATATTCAATTAAAAAAACTTTAAAATTGCATATTATATCCCTCTTCATTAAATCTAGTAAAAACTCATTAACAAAGTCATTATAACTAAATTCCATAATATGATCATCCATTCTAAAACAGAATGATTGTTTTGTTCCCCAACACTGGCCAACAGGGCTTTTTTTCTCAGAGAAAAGGTGGTGGAACTCACCTCCCTCCCCTGGCCACGCCCCCACCCAAACCTGGCCACGCCCCCACCCAAACCTGGCCACGCCCACGTTTGGCTTTGAGGGCGCCGGCGTGAGAGCCTCTGGATTCTCTGCCGCTTCTTGCTCGGGCAGGGTCGCCTAGGAAACGGGCCAGGGGCGC